TAGATAGATAGATAGATAGATAGATAGATAGATAGATAGATAGATATTTTAATCTATTCTTATTCATCATAGTACAATTTTATTATTTAATTCTCCAAGTTTTTATATTAGAAGTTCCTTCCAGTAAATGTATTATTAAAAAAAGAAAAGAAATAATTTTAATCTTTTAGATTGTCTGTAACCATTTTGTCTGTGCTTTAAAGTTTGCATTTGAGCACTGCTGTCCCCAAAACTGTGGTTGAAAACAAGTTTTGCACTTACTAATCGTTCAACACGAAAGTCCCTGAACATGTTTTAACTTGTGTAAATATTCTCGTGCAGATAGTTTATCAGCACGAGTTTCCCTAATATCACAAAAGAGATACTGATTAAATAAAAGAACAACTTTGTCTCTATTACTGCTTTTAAACTCAACATTATTGTTTAGTTTCAGTGAAATAACTGCTTCCCAGAAATTTAATAAATTTGAATTAATTCTTTTTGTCTGTTTATACGTATTTCAAAATAAGCATAAGGTTTCGTACATGATTAGGGGGTATAATTAACAATCCAGACAATAATAAGGCACAGTCTTGATTTTTCTTTAAAGTTTCTATATATTTTAGTTAAGTGTAAGAAAAATTGCTAGGAATTATAGAAGGGAGGATTTTCCTCCTAATATTTTATGAACTCTATGAAGCATAAGAAATTTTAAGCATAAAATCAAGCTATAGATAAATGTTCTTTGAACTTAGGAATTTCAAGCTACAAATTTAAACCATACTATTAAAGATATTCAATACACTGAGTATTGCTTTTGGTTCCAAATTTATCTGAAGAAAATGTCATGCAGAAGCTCAATGTAGCAAGAATGACTTTATAATCCAGACCCACTTTGCCAGGGGCTCACTGAATGTGTGGTGATATTTTTGGGAATTGGGGGAAAATTCTAAGTGGGTTCCCACAATAGGATTCAAGGAGAATTTTTAAAAAATCCTCATTTAGCCAAAATCAAAAGCATTTTCTTTTCAAACTGGCATAGAATAAAACATATTTTTTAGCACCTTGCAACTCCAAAATATATTCAGTTACTGCTACTTTTTTTTCTGCATTTTTCCTTCCAATTAAAAGATGTGTTTTACATGGATTGAAGCTTTAGGAGAAATATATAAAAATATGTTTTAAGTTTGGCTAGAAATAAAGTTGATGAATGTAAACTCTTGACATTTTCAGGCTTTTTCTTAGAGTTATATGACAGTTTCTTTGAGATCGCAGGCAATAGCCTGCTTTGATCTTTATATATTTACAATTAGTCGCTCTCTATTGACTTGTTCAGATACGTGGATGACTATTATAAAGTACAGTTATTCTTCTTCCATCTTGAATTTTTTTTCAGGCTGGCCTTGAGTTCACATTATAACCCTGGCTGGTCTCAAACTCACAATGATCCTCTTGCCTCAGTCTCCCCAGTGCTGGGATTACAGGCATGAATTCTAATGATAAGCATATGGCAGTGCTGTGTTGTTGGATTTTACAAACTATTTTTGGTGAACATATACAAGAATTTGAAAAGAAAATGCTATAAAGTAAGATGAAAATTTCTAGCATCTTACCTAGAGAAAGCTCATTTTTCATTATGCATGCTTTTCACTTATGTGGTTATATACCCACACAACTGAAAGAGCAAAACCATACATAAAACCACACTAACACAACATTTATAATTATATATAGGTCTATATAATTCATGATATATGTGATCCAAAAAGTAAATATTATTTTTAAGTACAAACTAGTATTACTATTTTTTAGTATCACCTGAATATCTTAAAGCTTGTTCTGTACGTGTTTGCATTGTATTTATTCAATAAATTGAAGGGGATGGTATATTGTTTGACTTTTTTCATCAAAATAGTGTCTCTGTGTGTATGCATGCTTTCTTCTGTTTATGTACCTCAGCATACAAGCATAAAGGGCAAAATATATTAATTTTTATGAATATTGAGAAGTTCTGAAATTTGAATCATTTCAGACACCAATATCTATAGATAAAAAATCGACTTCTCGATTCATCTACAATGAAGTCAGACTTAGCTCACTTCACCTCGTTCGTGTAGGGATAGGAGGAGGAACCTACTGAAAGAGGATTCGCGACTTCTGTATCGTTCTTGGGCGGTGTTAAGCACAAAAATACTCCAGAGAACATCACTTCGCAGAGTCGCTGCAAGCTACCCAGCAGCGAGTTAATAATTCCACAAAAAATTTTTGTTTTCCTGTAAGAATGTAAAAATAACAACTAGAGATGTGTCTTATTCCAAGTATTAAAAATAAGCTGTTTTCTGAGTAGGTGCTGACTACATTTACCGACTGAAGCAGCCAAATCCAATAATACCATCTCTTAGTACTGACACTTAAAATAAAATTTCTCCCTGAAACAGAGCTCCATAAATGACGGATGCAGAAACAAGCCCTGTCCAGGCAGTTGTTCTGTGCAAGTGGCGGCGATATTTTCTGATGTGTTCCGAGTCATCTCAGATGGTGCGTGAAAATGCGATGCCAAGCGAAGCTTTAAAAAGATCCCGAGGACGAGCCGCAGAGAGAGCCTTGAATCGCAGCATTTAGAAGTTTTGAAAAGCTAATCTAAAGTTAAATGTTTACTAGTGTCTCTCC